AAGTTGAATTTCGTGAATTTAAACCGGTTGATGATCAAATTATCAGCATGGTTCGATGTCTTTATTTTGCACAAACATATATAACAAGTGGTGAGTTGTTTAAAAACTTGATTTCGTCTAATCGTCGAAAATTTTGTTTTAGCCAACGACACAATTCGATCATTGTGGGCTGGCACCAATGGTGGTCATGTCTATGTTTATTCCATTGTTGGTGGCGATATACAGTTGACATCGTCAATAAGTCAGAGACCTAGTAATACTCCTGTCGGAGGTATTGATCAATATGGTACCTGTTCAATGGGTATGTATTCACAAGTTCTTAGCAGCAGTTAATAGAAACAGTCTTTCTCGCTTTTTAGTTAAAGAAATTCGCTTGAAACATAAAGCTCCTGTATTAAGTATTGTTATTCTTGATGGATTGAATCGTCCAGTTGGTCATGGTTCGGGAATACCAGCAGTTGAGTCTTCACTAAGTAATCAAATATTACCGACAACCAGTACCTCTCAATCAGCAACGACAACTATGGCATCTGAACACACAACAAATTCCACTACATTTACCTCCACCTCATTTACTGCTCATAAAGTACTTATTTGCTCCGAAGAGCAATTCAAAGTAGGTTGCTGCACACTTTATATATTTTGTCGTATCGATCCTAAATTGTACTTCATTTCCTTAGATCTTCACATTACCAAATTTAAAACCACTTTGTAAATATAAATTAACGGCAACTGAAGGTGCTCGCGTTAGAAAAATTAGTGTAAATCAATTTACATTGAAAACAGGTATATATCAAATTAAAAACTAATGAACGAATAGTTCGCTTTACTTTACTTCTATAACTTTTAGATATTGATCAACAAACGTCTTATTCCGAATCGTGTTTATTATGTCTAAGTAATTTGGGTGAAATTAGTATTTATAGTTTACCATCGCTTCGGCGTCAAGCCGTATTTAGTTGTATAAAAACGGGCGACATAACGGCATTGTCATCTGTTCAATTTACACCCTGTTCTCATGCATTTTATTTACAATCATCATCTGAATTAGCTGAAGTCTCTTTTACACCCGTCTCATCATATCCATATTCCATGTCCTTGCCATTTAATAAATCATTAAGAAAATTAATTCAGCGATCAAGTGAAACTTCTCAAACATTTTTACCTATCTCGACCAATGAAGATAATAAAAAGAAACAACAAAGTCCGGCGAATACTGAAGAAAGATATAACGAAGATAATAAAATTAAAAGTACCTATAGCAAACAAAACATTACCGAGTAAGTGATATAAATGTAAATTTGTTTTTTGAAGTTATAACAACTAGAAAAGTCTTTATAGACATTTTATTAACTGAACTGATTTCAGGTCTCCATCATCACCAAAATCACTAACTCTGGATAATACAAACGATTCGACATTAACATCAGCCAGTGAAACACATCAACATCATCATTCGTCAACAGTTAGTCCATTATCAAAGTCATCAGGTTCTTCGTCCTCTCAAAAGATAACAGAGGTATACATATTATCTTGCTTTTAATTTAGTTTTATTCGCATCTTAAATTTTTCTTTTTACAGAATAATCTATCAAACACGCATAATCATAATCATAATCATCATGAAAAAGAACAATTGCTGAAAAAACAAGGAATGGATAATGTCATTGGAAATAATAGCAGTACAAATTCAGACTCAGCTATTGATCTTAGTTCAGGAGGCACATCAATTAATACAACAACAAATAAAACGAATTCAAGGTTAGAAACGATATTTTATTTGTGATTAAAGTTTAAACAGATTTTTTAATTCATTTTATGTATTTAGTGATGAAAATCATGGTACAGTTTATAAATACAATGTTAAATCGGCTGAACGAGAATTATCACCATTTCAATCAACGCCACTCAAAAGTAAGTTTTGCATATTTTCTTTTGTTGTCTTAAAAAATGAAAATGCAGTAATGTACAAATGTGGATTAAGAAAATGCATCATGTATGAATTTTCTGAGTAATTAGGATTATTCTGCATCGCCATTATTGACTACTAGTTTTTGCTTTTACATTTTAGTTTCAAATGACGTACCATCGTCAATGTATAATGGCCATTCAATTGCTACTAGTTCTATTTCACCTGTTGAAAAGCAACAAGTTTCACCCACATCTTCAATTCCTTCACATTCGTCATCAACAGCAACTAAACTAATATCGGTCAAAGTTCGTCAGGCTCCCACCATTAATGAAATACATTGTAATGGTACAAAAATTGATCATCAAATACCACAATTATCTTCTCCACAACGAACATCAGCGCCAATTGCACCATCAAAACCCATTCATACTTAAAGTTTTCTTCTTCTTTGCTTTATAAAAATCTTCGATGAAATTACTGTTGTTATTGTAAATGAATTCTTATTCTTTGTTGTTTTCGTTGATCTGACTACTTTAGCTGTTATCTCATGTATTTCTCGTGTGTTTTTCTTAAAATGATGTCATTAAATTTATGTTTATTTGTTTTTTGTTCTCAAAAATGTGCACTATTCGAATATGAATGATTTTTTCTTCGGTTTTTTTAATCTTGTTTCGTCCGTAATTCATTTTTCTCGTTTAAGTTGTGTATGTATGTTTGTACGACTTTTTTTAATTTGATTGTAACGTGGTGTCTCTTGACAATAATCCGTATGAATAAAAGAAACCTGTAACTAACATTATGCACACACATACACTGCTGCCTTTTTTTTTTATATCTCTTTTTGCCGTCGTCGAATCAGAAAAACTAAAATAAAAATAATTTACAGATTTTTTTTTTGTTTTAATTTCTTTCCAAATAAAAAATGATAGAAATTAAGTATGGTTGCACATGATTGATAGTCAATGGAAAATATTAGATGACTCATCCAGTGCACAATCAATTATTTTAACTGTTTATTTGATGCTAAATGAAATATAGGAGTTTTCTCACTTCTTAACTTTATATTAGGTCACTCACATCGACGGAAAGGACAATTTCAAAAATACATGTTATAATACCTTTAGTTATTTCATTTTCTTATTTAAGATGTAACTATTGGTTAGGATGTTTTGAAGACATAAGACAGTTTACTGTCAGATTCTATCGTATAAACAATGTGTAAATCAGTATTCATAGTCAAATATGGATTTGATTTCATTAATAATGTAGCTCATCTAATTCGCTGGACGTGTGGCGGATAATAATTTTTTTCTAAAGAAGGACAGAGATCGAAATGTGTCGAGCTCAGATGAGAAAAGAATTAGAAATTGGAGGCAAAGAACACTAATCGCACTCAGTATGGAAGGTGGTTAATAGAATAGTTGAACCTTCCTGGATCATGATAGTTCAATAAATTATATCATTTTGTTGTGTGTGTGTGTGTGTGTGTGTGAAGAAAGCAATCAAAAACCGATCAGCCGATATCTCCTATTCTTTTTTTTATTTAGACAGCTTTTTATCAATGTTCAAAATGATCGCATTAATAGACTAGTTTACTGTTCAATTATTTCGATACGTCATAATTCACAATGCCAACTGTTTTCTTGATTGATTGCTCAATTGGTATGGCCGAAAAAGTGCCATATTTATCGGGCGGTGTTGAAACAGTTGTCGAAAAGCGTCATATTATATCACAAACAATTGAATTATTAATGACAAACACGAATACACTCACAAGACTGGAATCTGTTGCATTGGTATGATCATGAAAAAATATTTTCTCTTAATTTAGAAAAAAAATTGATGTTAGCTCATAAGACAGGAATGAAAGGTTTTGAAAGAGTTCTCTAAGCTTTTCTTTGTCAATATTTCAGGTGTTGTTTGCTGGATGTGATACAATAAAAATTTATCAACATTTTACCAAGAGTAGTGAAAGCATAATTCAAACAGTTCAACATTTACCAGTGTATGGTGGTTATCATTTGAAATCAGCCATTGATTTTGCTAAGAAATATTTAACAACCGCCTATGGCTCACAACGATCACAGAAAGTCAGTATTAGTATTAACTTATTTTCTCTATTAAATCTGTCTATTATTTTAAAATTTCGATTTTTTTAGATTCTTGTTCTAACAGATGTTGATCATCAAGATACAGTAATGACAAATTCAACATCTCAAATGAGTACACATGTAAAAGGATCATCAATGCATAAAAATCGTACGACTAT